TCCCTGGGAGACCCTCAGACCCATCTGGGACCACCCAGGGGTGCTGCCCCTGTCCCTGGGAGACCCTCAGACCCATCTGGGACCACCCAGGGGGGCTGCCCCTGTCCCTGGGAGACCCTCAGACCCATCTGAGACCACCCAGGGGTGCTGCCCCTGTCCCTGGGAGACCCCCAGATCCATCCAGGACCACCCAGGGATGCTGCCCCCTTCTCTGAGACCCCCCAGGTCCACCCAGCGGTGCTGCCCCCTCCTCTGAGACCCTCAGATCCATCTGGGACCACCCAGGGGGGCTGCCCCTGTCCCTGGGAGACCCCTGACTCAATCCAGGACCACCCAGGGGTGCTGCCCCTGTCCCTGGGAGACCCGTGACTCAATCCAGGACCACCCAGGGGTGCAGCCCCCCCACCCTGCCCCCTCCCCAACCCCCACTCACCCAGCCAGGGCTTGAGGAATCCGTAGAACAGCTCGTCCTTGGGGGCAACGAAGGCTGGGGGAGACGGGGACAGGGTGGGCAGGGGGCCACCAGGGTGGGCAGGGGGCCACCAAGGTGGGCAAGGGGCCACTGGGGTGGGGAGGGGGCCACCAAGGTGGGCAAGGGGCCACTGGGGTGGGCAGGGGGCCACCAGGGTGGACAAGGGGCCATCAGGGTGGGCAAGGGGCCACCAAGGTGGGCAGGGGGCCACCAGGGTGGGCAGGGGGCCACCGAGGTGTCATCGCGTCCCCTCGGGTGGGGACCCTCTGCCAGCACCCACGGCCACCGTGGGGTGAGGGTTGGGGTACAACCGTGGGCTGGCCACGGGGACACCTTTGGGTGGCCCTGGACACCCTCCAGGACAGGTTGGTGGCCACCATGGGGTGGCATTGGGGACACGTCTGGTGGCCCTGGGGACAGCTGGGGTGGCCCTGGGGATGCGACTGGTGGCCCTGGGGACATGTTTGGTAGCCCTTGGGACATGACTGGTGGCCCTGGAGACGTGTCTGGTTGCCCTGGGGACGTGTTTGGTTGCCCTGGGGACATGACTGGTGGCCCTGGGGACGTGTCTGGTGGCCCTGAGGATGTGTCTGGTGGCCCTGGGGACAGCTGGGGTGGCCCTGGGGACATGTTTGGAGGCCCTGGGGATGTGTCTGTTGGCCCTGGGGACGTAACTGGTGGCCCTGGGGATGTGTCTGGTTGCCCTGGGGACATGTTTGGTGGCCCTGGGGACGCAACTGGTGGCCCTTGGGACATGACTGGTTGCCCTGGGGGCAGCTGGGGTGGCCCTGGGGACGTGTCTGGTGGCCCTAGGGACATGTCTGGTGGCCCTGGGGATGCAAATGGTGGCCTTGGGGACATGTCTGGTGGCCCTGGGGACAGCTGGGGTGGCCTTGGGGACATGTCTGGTGACCCTGGGGACACGTTTGGTGGCCCCGTGTCCTACCTGAGGCTCCGAGGAGGGGCCGGAGGGTGGAGGGGTGGAAGAGGCGCAGGACGGGCATCCAGGGCAGTGCCCACCACAGGCAGCCCTGGCTGTACCGGGCCACCAGCGCGTCCGTGTCCTGCAGGCCCTGCTCCGTGCTCTGGGCCTGGGGACACAGGACACCGGGGGACACGGGTGACCACGGGGGTACTGCCAGCCTTGGGACACCTGTGATCCCAGTCTGGGGACACTGGGGGGCACGGGTGACCACAGGGGCACTGCCAGCCTTGGGGATACCTGTGATCCCAGTCTGGGGACATGGGGACACCGGGGGGCACAAGTGACCACGGGGGCACTGCCAGCCATG